AGTGGGGATCACACCTGGCATCTCTGGCTTTAAATGCAGGAGCCTCTTCTGTTTGAGTTAAAAGAGCCCCTTAGCCAAGGTGGTGGCAGGGCCATTCACCTCTCTGTGGCCCAGTCACCTCTAGCAGAGAACAGAACGCCACACTGAAACTAAGCAATGGGGACCCCTGGATTGGAATGCCACCAATCTATCCTTAAATCAGTGTCTGAGATGGTCACTCTGGTAGGTGGGCCATTTCCAGACTAGCAGGGGGACAATTCCATCAGAAACCACAGAATTAAGAAGCAGGCCAGACGCTCAGCTGGCATCAATCAGCGTTGCCCTGTTGTCTTCAACAGAGCTCTGAATACTCTATCTGAGGACCTCTTGCTACCTGCTAAAGTCACTGGGAAATACAGTCCTGATTCCTCACTGTCTTTAACCTGTGCTGATGCAGCGTGATGCTGTCCCCTGTAGCGGCTAGAGCCGTTTATGAGTTTTACTGCGCACAGACTACCTCAACCAGGAGTAAGACACTCCTGCTTTCAGATCCCAAAGTCTCGGGTTCATTCCTCAGACAACCCAGCCCGGAGAGCTATAACACACAACTGGCCTTGTCAATGACACCCGTGCAAAGCTAATGCTTTACACCCTGACTTCGCACTGGTGTAACGTGCAAAGGGGTGGGTGAATCAGTCCCTGGGACTTTCAGGATTTCTCTACGAAGTATCATCATTCTGGGCTCTGTGGCAAGCACTCTCTTTGCTCAATCCATCACCACCTCCCGGCCCTCTATCCACCCTGGCATGTCGCCTGGATGGGGTTAAATTCTGCAATATGGAACAAACAGGGGAGGGGCGGGGAAGGGGGAGCAGGTCTGTGGATACAGGAAAGGAAGGAGGACAGGTCAAGAGAGGGTAAAACAAGAATAATCTGTACAATTGCGGCCATGTTCAAAGTCAGTATTATTACAATATACTCTGACAAAAATATAATCTCATTTCATATCAATACAACAAAAAAACAGTTTCCTGTACTGTTACCATTGCTAACATATTGAAACTTGCTATTTACAAGGACAGGAGCCAGGTAAAATACTACAAGATAAAGATCAGAGAGAAGGGAAGAAAGACCAGGAGACGGGCGCTCCAGAAGAAAGAAAAGCCCGGGGAAAGGCCCTCTTCTACAAACGGTTCATGGCTTCTGGTTTTCAGACGGAAGGAGGGATGACGGAGGTAGCGAGAACGTAACACTCAATTAATGGGTGGGGGGTTTTAACAGAGGGAAGGAGGGAGAGTGAAGTGGGGGCAGGGGAAAGGATGGAAACAGGTGAGAAAGGAAGAAAATACAGGGCCTCGCTCTCAACAGGTGTAAATTGGCTACATCAATGAAGCACCACTGATTTACCCCAGCTGAGGTTGTGGCTTATGCTAAGATGTAAGAGAGAGGAGGGCAATGTTATTTTCTAGGCTCTCGGATATCTGTGGTGCCAGGACAGGGTTATTCCTTGCCCAGCTCCCACTTACCAAGGCAAGCTGGCCAGATCTGACCCCATCCTGCTTACCCAGCGCCCCCCAGGGGCAGCTTTGGGGTGTGGGGGGAATGCAGGATCAAGCACTCTTCTCTCTCCTCGCACAGCTAGTCAGGCTCTTATTACGGCTGCAGGGGGGCATTCCCAAACTGCCTTCGCTCTTTGCCCCCCAAGGGCTGTGTCCTAGCACGGGGAGACGCCATCTTGATTCGAAGCTTCAGTCTAGCCTTTTAGAACAGTAGAGATGAGTCCCCCCCACCCCTACCTCAGCACCCTCTGAATGGCTCTGCACCCAACCCGGCTCACTTTCCTCATGGGAGTAAGCCCTGTTGATTTACTCTCCTGTCATCTACCATGGGGAACTCCATTCAGCCTTAGCTTCCCCCAACAGAGCAGAGCAGGGCTTGCTGCACGCTGGCTCCTGCTATCAAGGGATGAGGCAGCCATGTCCCCCTCTAGTGGCTGGTCCGCACAGAGGATAAGAGCTTGCTACTGCTACCAGCTAAGGGAGATACTCCTTTTGCTCAAGTGATAGAGGCCTAGGCTTTTGGTGCTAAAGGTCCCGGGTCACTACACTGGCTCATCTTGCGTCAGCCTTGTATAGAGGAGGCCGGGGGGGTGGGGGGGAGTATTTAAATTTATTCCTGTGAAGCATGAGGCCTCCTTAAACTCGACTGGGGAACCTAAACTCGAGTGCAGGGTAGCCATTTTGCCAGTGAGCTGTTCCCCCTTCACAACTGAGGCAGTCCTTGGTGTAGGGCAGGAGGCAGCCACCCGGCCACCACTCAAGTGCCAGGTGCACCTGGCTCCCACAGCCCTGTCTTGACCAGCACAAAATCTGCCTTTCCGCCATCTCTCTGCCAGCCTCTCCTCACCCCCACTGCCACCAAGCCATGTGGTCCAACAGTCGTACACCAACCCAAACGTGAAGCAAAGGCTGACAACTGGACAGACCACGAGGGAATCAGGCAGCTCCCTCCATTGCTCCCCCCCCCCCCCGATTTTATTGGGCAAACAGAATTGTAGGCCAACGAAGAATATATTTCAGATGCTTTCAAAGGCCGGGATCTCTCAAAATCCTACCCAACGTTTGGAGGAATGAACCGGGAAGAGAGGACGACATCACGATGAAATGGGAAATGGCATGGAACAATAGGCATGGGAAGAAACCTTTTAGCAAACTGAAAACAATTCTTTGACTCCATCAGGTTACAAAACTGTGTAAAAGTTCGCTAGAAACCTTGTCGCTAGTAGGGATAGTTAAGCAATGTAGGGAATTGGCATTTACCAAAAAAAGGAGTTTAAGAACTCCCGTGTAGCCATATATATATTTATATATATATTCTTTTCCTGCAATATCTCTTAAGAGAGCCACTAAAAGAAATAAATATTTCTCTCTAGATTACCCGTCCGCGTGGTTATTCAAAGTTTTACAATGTTTATCCTAGAGCTGGTCAAAACCTTTCAAATTGCTGTTGAAATTTGGGAGGTTGGGTTTTGGTTTTGGTTAAGCCAGTCAACGTTCAGTTTTCAAAATTTCAACGGAATTTTCTGGCCCCAAAAAAGGAACTTTTTTTAAATAAAAAAAATCAGTTTGTTGATTCGGATGGATGAGATTTTTCAGCAGTGCGGAAGTTAAGACAATTTTCTTTGCTTCCTCCTGCCAAACACAGGCGCTCTTGGGTTGTTGTTGTTTTTCAACCGGCTCTAGTTTAGACCAAATGTTGCCCTCAATTATAGCCCCACGTGAGCTTCTGGGTAGTAATATTGCTTTATGGTTGTATAACTGAGGGTGGGGTGGGGGATTAACGTTGGTGTGCAAAATTTCAGAAAACCGTATGATTTGTTGCTGACAAAATATGTCCTATGGAGGAAATTTGGGCTAAGTTCGAAGGAACGAGTGGTCGTAGTAATGCTGAGTTTGGAGAGAAATCATTTAGCACAGCCCCCTCCCCCCCCCAATGCTGACAGCCTCAGCATGGCTCCACTGACTCCAGTTTACACCAGTGGAGGATTTGGCCCCATGTGCTTCGCTGCCTAAGTCCAGAGGTGGGCTCAGACCGCAACACTGCTCTGGACTTTGCTCTCCCAGATTCGCAGCTGCCCGGCCCCTTGTTCGCTCATTGACGTCAGTGCAATATGAGTGTGATTCTCTACCAGATGAAACAGCAGTGTTTTACACTCACATTGCAGCAGTGCCAGTGATTACATGAGAAGCGGGCCAGCGGAGAACCAGGCCCCTCGTGTTTGGCTTTCGCCCACTATAGAGATAGGACCCAAATATGAAATTTGCATTCAGAGCCAACCTCCGACCCCTCCAGCAAAGTGAAGGGGTGGTAGGATCCAAGATTTTCCTGTTGGCTTATCGCCACTCAGTACTTCATTCAACCCAATTTATACCTATTCCCATATGCAATGGTATCTGATTGCCACTGGATAACTCTGTTAGGAGTTCGGCTGTCCAATTAATTCTATTCAGTTGTTACAAGCTTGAATTCTCCTTCACCCAGGCCCCTTTCCATCACTCTGGCAGCATAAAGGGGCCTTAAAGTAGGTGCAGCTGTGACTCCAACTTTGAGATCCCTTTACTCTGCTGGAGAATCAGGCTCCGTAAAATTTATCTCCAATCTCTAGTCTGCACTCTGCTCCAGCTTCAGAGAGATCTTCTCTCTGCCCTTCTCATGCGGGCGACGCCATGTCCCATAGACTCGTTGCACCTTTGACAATATTTTGCTGCAAACCCAAATTTGGAAACTACACCGATCTCTGAAATTTTGCTCCCCGTCTCCCACCCCAGTTCCTTAGTCAGAAAAAGGCAAATCAACCCCAACCTCTTTCCTTAAGGGATGACAGGAAATATCACGTTATTTTTTGAAGTGGCCTAAAATTTCCATAAGCCTTAGGGCTGCAAAAACCATACACATGATCACAATCTGTCCCAACGCAGTCAAATGGCCTCTGTCGTGGCCAAACATAAGCACACCCAGGGGTTGAAATGAACAACAACCAGGGCACCAAAATGCTACCACTGCCAGGAGCACCATCTCCGATGTATACAGACGAAACTCCTGATCCAATTTCATGCACTGGAATCAGCTCGACAAAATATGACTTTAAACAGGAGTCCAGTGTTGTGTTTGATTCTTAATTTACCCAGGAAATCCTCAGTGCACGTCTTGATTTGTCTCACGCCCCATCCTTGAAGGACAATTTTGTTCTCCTGATGGATTAAAACAGTCTTTGATGGAACATTTAACCTATGGTTAAAATCTGTTCATAACCTAGGCTACGCCCTACGTTTTTGGTGTTCGTAGGGAAGGTACCACACATCAAAGCAAACCCCACATCTGAGTCACTTGAGAAGTAAACCTGTTACACAAAGTTCTCTTTCCGCTGCTCTGACAGCGTAAAACGGCTTTAAGATCATGCCACTGCCGCTCTCCCACAGCAATGTAAAGAGATCTTAGTGTAACTTCAAATAGGCCCCTTGTATTTCACCCCAGAGTATGGATGTTGAAGGATCCACATAGGTTTCAAGAAGGAAAAGATCAGAAACAGACTTTGGTAAGTAACCACATCTTTAGAAAGTAATATATCATTTTTTTGAAACATATCAGTGCATACTTCTTATATGAAAATATACACAATTGTATTTCATTCTCCAAAAAAAAGAAACAATTAAAAACAAAAGCAAACTAGCCAAACACAATATATTAGCTGTTTTTCATTGTTGTCATCGTTTAAATTTTTTTTTTTAACGCTACACTTTGTTCGGGTTACACTTTTTTTGTCTTTTTTTTTGTTTGTTTTTGTTTTTTGTAAATGTTTTTTTTCTTCATGCATTTTACACCTTTTATAGCTTTTGAGAATAAATAAGCTCCGTTTTGCTTCCGTATCTCTAAAAACTGCAGCATTTGAACTGTTCGTCATTTAAATCGTGCAATTTTTTTTTTTGCAACACCCCTTTTTAAAAAATGGAAAAAAATATATATATATATTTTTAAAACTAAACCCTATACAACGCAAAATTCCAAATTAAAAAAAAATTATACACAATGTAACTGTCAACAGTACAGTGGAGCACAAGAAATAAAATTAAAAGATCAGAAACATATTTATAGAAGCACAAAGGAGGGTGTTGATTTCTTAGATTGTCATTCTTCTGGTTGTCTTTTGAAAATCAGGAGGCGTTGACTGGATTCTACAGTCTGTGGGGAAATAGAGAATAACCCAGACGAAAAAAACCCAAACAAACCCAAAAATCATTTCACCCAAACGGTGAAGCTAATGCGGTTGTCAAACCCCACATCCCCCTCCATCAATTCCCCTGGTGCAATCCCAACTGTCCCACAAGCATATTTCCAAATGGGTTGAGCCAATGCACGTTTTAGAGTCCCACCACCAGATTTCTGAAGATCACCTTTGAACCTTGGCTTTTTATTTATTTGAAATGTTAGCTGCTTGGTGCCACAGTTTAATGCCATTTTGTAACCGATTTAGCCAGTCAATTGGTGGTCTGTCTCCATTCTCTCTCCAAATATATATATGCACCCAGGTTGCATTTTTATTTTCCAAGCTCTCAGCTCCAAGATAAACATGCCAAGTTGGGAGTTAGGGTATGAAGTTAATGAGAAAAAAGGTTTTTCCTCAGGTTTGTTCTACATTGATGTTTGAGCAGGTCAGATGGTCTTTTATACCTGTCAATGGAGTTAGCCATTTCGGATCCTCTTCACTACAGAATGCACTGAGAGCTGCAAATGACATTCCACCGGAAGTCTCCCAACAGGAGAGAAAGTGTTTATTTGCAGGATAGTGACAGAAAAATAAAATTGATGAGAAATGCTTTGTATTCTGCTTAATTTCAAAGCATGGCCGTGCAAAGCCTTCGGAGGGATGGATGGTACCCATACATCGCTAATGTAATAAGGTGGGCGTGCTCTGATTTTGATGGTCAGATAAGTTTCAGATTGGGGACTTCAACTTAGATTGACATATGGAGGCAACATAAAACCTGCCACAGAGACCTCCCACATACTGCCCAGTTTGCAACACAGCCCCACGCAGCCTTGCAAAACTCCACTCTGGATTGCGAGCCCATGGGGAAAGTAGTCAACATTTTTATTGTGGAAAAAAAGCTGTTGACATTTGGAAACCTTTTTTTTAATAAAACAAAAAGTAATCATGATCAAAACGTTTTCTCAAATCCAGTGTTGTCAAAGTTGCAAATTGCTCAACTTTCGAGGTCTCTTTGACAAGCAAACAGAATAATTTGTTGATTTGTCCATCCTTATGGCGAGTAGGATTTTGCTCCCAAGCTGCTCCATTTTCACGATAATTTTGCAAGGCGGCAGTAGTCCATAAACCCAGAATTCCCCAAGGGCCAGATCCTCAGTGTAGATCAATGGAAATAACATTGATTTACACCTGCTGGAGATCTAGCCCCCAGGATGAAACTCATCCATACGCAGAGGGGCCGACACGAGATGTGTATGCCACTTAATTCCTATTTAAGCCCCATGGCTTGGAGACTAGTGGGTCTAATGCTCCTCAGGCCTTGACCGGGCCTTTGCACATCGAGGAATTTCATTTAAGGGAAAAAAGTCATGGTAGAAGTTATCTATGGAAGAACCTGCTAGCGAATTCATCTGAACTGCCAAACAAAGTGCTAAGTTAGCATCTGATGATATAGGACAAGCAGTGCCAGTTGAAGCCTGCTGTTCACTAGAGAAAGGCTGATGGACCTGGACAATGAAGTCCTTCCTTGATCCATAGAACCACGCAGCCAGCAGCATTGCTCTGGAACAACTCCCCGAGGGGCACGTTCAATCCAGGGCCTTTCTACTGAGGCTGTAAGCAAAGGGGTCGAGTTCGTGCCAGTGAGAACTCATGACCACTCGGGGAACGATCTGAAATCTGCCAAGGAGAGCTGTGTTTTAAGGGCACACATATATTTAGAGAGGCTTTAGATCTGGGAGAAGTAGGCCCCCCCCAAAAAAAAAATAAATGAAAAACTAATTCAACAAAAAAATGGCCTTTTTAAAAATAAAAAAGAAAAATGTCACCTCTCAAAATTAGATTTTGTTTACATTTTCCCTTTTTCCCACCTAAGAAAACCTGCATTTATTGCATTGCATTTTCATGTAACTGTTCATTTTTGGGTTTTGGAGGGCTTTTTCCCCCTCTTCCCTTATTGCTAATTTTGGTCGGTCAGCATAGTCGCATGGAAGGGCTTTTCCAAAACTGAAAATTTCCTAAACCAAAAACGTTCATTTCAAAACTGAAAATATCCATTTTTCTAATTGAGAATTTTCAAAAATGGAACGACAAAAAGATGAAAAAGTTCCAAAATGTGGCGGAAAATGTCGAAAAACAAACAAAAATGTTCTGTTTTGAAACCATCTCACATTTTAGTGCTTTAGTATTCTTATTCTTTAGCTGCTGTAATCTCAACAGGTCTCTGCTTCTCAATCTTCCATCTCGCGCTGAGTTGGAAGTGTTCTAAAAGTCTAGAAACTTCTGGAATAAATGGTGGGCTACAAGAAGCCGACTACACCCGCAAGTCCTACCATGACTTTTTCCTCCTCCACTTTGAAGTATTTCTGGGCCTGTTTGGCGGATCTCAAAGCCACTGAGCTTGTAGATGCTGAAAGAGAATTTGCTTTCTCAACTATCTCAGGGAGCAGCCACGAATGGTAGCAGAACTCCACTGGCATAGGTAATTAACCCAGTGAAAACAAAGCTCCCACGCTGCAGAACTGAGACGCCCTCGCAAGTTTGGTGGGGGACCATGATCCCAAGCACAGGATAAACATAAAAGGTGGGATGGGAGAGCAGGGAAGGGGGTAAACTGAGCCCTGATATTAATGCTCATCCATTCGCAAATGCGGGCGAAAGGAGGGACTGAACGCTTGTCTGCAGAGGACTCAGACGTTATCTGTGGGAGTTCCCAAAAGCCCTTCGGTACAAGATTCCTGAGCTGACTGCATTGGCTTCCCTTCTCGTTTCAATTTGCTGACCCCGGGGCAGTGGGGGGGAAGGGGACAGGAATGGGGATACCCAGTATGGAGAACAAAGCCTTTGAAGATCTTACCTAATGATGAGAGAGGAAGCTGCCTGTCCACAGCGTTTGCTAGGTGGGCAATGAACTGGAGGTGCAGCACACACGTGTAAACTAAACCACTATTCACAGGGAGAAGGCGGCCTGCTGGAAATGACTAATGAACCCCCTCTCTCGCCTCTCAGCCCCCCGGTCTCCCATGCTCCCCATACCTCGGATGACCATGCACGTTGCCAGTTCCTCAGCTGGTGTCAATCTGGCGTTTACGCATCAATGTACACCAGCGAGGATGTTGCCCTTTGGTTTATTTAATTTGGGGGAGGGAGTTTTGGGGGGGCAGAGGAGGGTTAAAAGTGAAAAATGTGTTCCTGCCTGCTGGAGATCGGGGGACAAAATAAAAACGATCAGAGATGTATGGGATGGCAAATTAAAGGAGTAGAGAGTATAGGGGGAAGAGGGGAGTCAGATTGGCATTTCTGATTGGAATGCCCAGCGGCTGCCATTTAAACAAAGATGTGAACCACGGTGACGCCTCGCAGCTGTGCCAACCCTTATGTGACGCCAACGTGGTGAAGGCATAAGTTTGAGTGACCTGAGACCCGCAGTGGAGAAACGTGCCGTCTCCTGACTTTGAACAGATTTTCTAATTCCACACACTCCCCCTGGGGCAGTAACCAAAGGGGACAAAGGCCCCGTCAGATAACTGCTTAGCGTAACCACATGGCTCCCGGCCCACTGAAGCGAATGGGAGCTTTGTACCATTTACTTCAATGCAACCAGGGATTTGGCAGGATGGCTGGAATTCAACCCATGCAGATTCGCCAGTCCCATGTCTATACATCACCAGAAACCCCCCAAACAGGACTTAAGTGGTACCCGGGCCTCTGCCTGGGGGGAATTTTACCCTACACAAATATGTACTAAGCACATAAGCTCTCTCTCAGCTCAACCCTTAGGCCTATATCTTGCTACCACTGAAATCGGTGGCAAAGCTCCCATGGACATCAACGGGAGGCCAGATCAAAGGATCTGACCCCTTATAGAATGTATTTTTTTGTCCTGCTAATTCATAAACCTGATCGGGGTTCGGATAAAGTCTTATAGTGACCACGCTGTCATCCGTAAAGGTGAGGCAGGAGAAACGTTATTTTCCCTTCCACAACGTGTGTGTTTCTGCTCACTGGATAGTATTAAGCTTTAGCTGAGTTAATTACAGTATATTAGGGTCGGGTCAGTACAGTACATTGGTGGTAATATTGTCAGGAGGGGATGAAGATGCATGTTCTGTTCCATCTGTGATGTAGCTAACTGCCTGAGCCATTGTGACTGGAGAAATCAGTGGGCTTGAATGGCCTGCACTGGAAGGAAGTATCACAGGGCGATGCCCTCACCAGTTTATACTGGGCTGACTTCCCTCCGTTGCATCCCTAATGTAAACTATTAAATTGGAATTTTTCAAATCACCAAGAAAATTTTACTCCAGGTTTCCATATTTAAAAAATAAAGGGGAGGGAAGATCAGTAAAAGACTTGCCATTTTTTTTTAACCCATGTTGCGACCAAACGATAGCACAGCCCAGAACTTCTGAGTTTCAAAATGATGACAAAAAAGTTCTGGATTTGGATGAGGGGGAGGGGAAGGAAAACAATTTCCAATGAATTTTTTGTACATTTCCCCCTAATTCTTCAACCAAATGTAGAATTGACCAGAACTTTCTAATGTCCAATTACTAATACAAATTTTGCATTTTGAGGAAGAAAAAGAGTTGAAGACATTTTTGCAAACATTCCTCACTTGTTGGTCAAGGGCCTTTTCAGAATTCTTCAAATTTCAAAGAACAATTAGAATTTCAATGAAAAAAACTTTAGAAATGTCCATGAATAATTTTTCCTGTTTTTTTTTAAATCAGCTCTAATTTAAACTTCACCAACATCTAATGAGTATGAATTTTAATTGACGTGAGATTTAAACATTTCTTTATCATTTTTTCCTATCTATGGTTGGCAAAACTGCTTTATTAATAAAAAAGAAAAAGATCTCCCCTCCTCCCCTGTTTTTAAATGCTTTTTTTTAAATTCAGGTATATGCAAATAGTTCCACTATACACCATTCTAGACCTCCGTGGGGTGTTTGAAAAGCTGCCATTTTCAAAGATGGGTGGCACTACTCTGTCGATCTATCTATGCATCCGAAGAAGTGAGGTTTTTACCCACGAAAGCTTCTGCCCAAATAAATCTGTTAGTCTTTAAGGTGCCACCAGACTCCTTGTTGTTTTTGTAGATACAGACTAACACGGCTACCCCCTGATACTTATCAGTGGGGATGTTTTCTTTAATTAAATTTCATCTGAACTGCCAGATAAAGCCCTAAAAATCAGGGGCCTGATTCTCATATACACTCATGTCCCTTGATATGGCTCTGGCAGTGCAAAGTGGCCTTTAAGTGGCACGGACTCTGCTAACATTGGCTAGACTGCTCACCCGTTATACAATGCAGCTCGGGTGACTTATACTGGCTGAGAATCTGGCCCTATAGCTTGCATTGGGAAAGCTCTCTTTGCACAGATGATGATGATAATGATTCATTTTTAATTTAGCAACATAACTGGAGTTGAAACTGATTAGATGAAGCCAAGCCTCCGAACTGGGATATTGATCGGAATTCTGCGACATACAGAGCAGAGATACGGCATCTGACCCAGCAACATTGGTAGGTTACCAGTTCATGCTGAGTGACATCCACCCCTATTGTGCTGAGGGGCCAGGAAAGAGAGGCATCACTTAAGTCTCACCGAAGTGCTATTTTTTTGAGTGGAACTTAAGCAGTGCATATACCTCATGCTGGCCGTTCTGCACGGCGGTCCCGGTCACTCTCTGATTGGGAGCACGGGGTGGCAAAAAATCTCAGCTGTATTTGAATTTGGCTGCACATCAGTGGGCGTTTAGAGTGCACAGAGCCATGTGGAATTGGAGCTAAAATGTGCATATGTTTGTGTGTGCATAAGAAATTCTCCGCATCCAAATAGACGTCCTAGGTACTTTCTCATCAAAGGCACTCTTCTCTCAGAATTAGGTCCGACCTTATAAACCGGGCACACGTCTCAAGCCCTCCCCGACTCCCGGTCGCCAGTGGGTGAATTTTATCGACAACAACCTAGCACGCACGCCCGACACTTGCTCGCTGGGATAAGTGATTGATTTTTTTTTTGGTGACACGTTCCCCTCCCCCCACCCCCTTATTCTTGATTCTAAGCTGCTCTCAGCCATGGAGTGCCTTACGTATTGCAAACGTTGCCTGCTGCGCTAGAATGAAGGCCTACAAAATCCTAAAGCTATTTCTCAGGCAGTTTATAATAAGTCCCCGCCCCCACCCCAAACCCATTTAGCTCCACCCCGGCCCTCCTTTTTCCCCCTCCCAGCCCTGCCACTGGTAACAACCCCACCCCCACCCCCCAACACACACATCTCCCCGCCCCCGCCCGGACGTGAGCAGAAAGTAGCTCGAAGAGAGTTGGGACTGGTTATGTTACCCAGGCATCCAGCCGCACGCGCTTTACGGATGGGCTCTCTCCCTCGGCCTCGGTCGTGGGTCTCAGGAGGCCGAGGGACGAGCCGAAATCGGCTCTGGCGGGGTCATCCCGCTCGTTGCCTTCATAGGAGCTGGCGTTGCTGCTGAGGCTGTCGACGGGAGAACGCCCCGTCGGCTCGTGCCGGCTCTGATGCGGGAAGGAGCTGAGCGGCGTGGCAGTGTTTCGTTCCCGGTTGGGCGAGACGGGCTCCGACTTGATGCTGATGTTGGGGTTGGTGTTGACAGTCAACGTGGTGGTGTGAGATAAGTGACCCCCTTGTCTGCAGGTGGCAGCGGAGGGATGGGGAGTGGAGAGAGGGAAAGGGGAGACAGGAGAAAAGAAGGGAATGGGGAAGACGAGGGGGAGAAAACGTAGAGGAGTGCACACGTGGGATAGTGAAGGAATAAGAGACAGATGCAGAGAAGGTGAAAAGGAAACAGATGGAGAAAGGGGAAGAGAGAAATATTGATAATTAACATTTGTAAAGGCCTTTTCTATCATAGAAATGCAGAGATCTTATCATCCATCCATCTCAGTGCAGTTTAATATTATCAGTCTACACAGCTGAAGCTGAGACAGAGAGAAAGGAAGTAACTACCCCCCAAATCACCCAGATCTGGGGCAGACTCAGGACGAGGACCCAAGTCTCTTAAAGCCCGATCTATGGCCTTAGCACAAGACCACCCTAACTGGCACCTTCCAGTCCCATTAAGGTCCCTCTATGCGGCTCCTTCACGCCAAGGAGAACCTGGCCCCTAATGTTCAGCAGTGAAACCCGCTGCGTTAGCAATGACAGCACAGCATCAAATGCGCTTCCTCAAAGGATAAAGGACGTTTGTGGCATTAGGGAGTCATTGGGGTTGCCTGGAATGAAACGTCCTAGGGTGCTTCTGTAACTGGCCAGCTGCAATGGACGGTGTGATTGTTCTGAGGCCAGAAAGATGCTAGCCCTTGCTATGCAGTTATTGCTGCTGCTAGTGGGCTTGGAAAGGCAATCTAGACATGGAGAATGCGCTAGACTGGGAACCAGGAGAGGTGCATTCTGTTCAGGGCCACGCTGCCGGCCTGTGTGACCCAGAGCCTGTCACTTCCTCTCTCTGTGGATCTCCTTCCCATCCCAGCCTTTGTTTGTCTTGTCTAACTAGACTCTAAGCCGTGTAGCTTGAAGCTGGTCTCTTTCGCCAAGGGAGCTGGGTCCAATAAAAGATATTACCCCTCCCACCTCGTCTCTTTCATATCCTGGGACCACCACAGCTACAATAACACTATAGAAAACTTTAGCTGAAAATGACAAAATATTAATTAATTGTTTTCATTATTTTCTAGCCAGTTCTATTAGGCTGTCAGCTCTTCGGAGCAAAGATAGGCTCTTACTATGGCCTGGTCTACACAAGGAAATTAGGTTGGTAAACCACATCGCTCAGGGGTGTGAAAAAGCCAACCCCCTGAGCGAGCCCCGGTACAGACAGCACCTATCCCCCGGTACAACAGCACTAGAATTCTCCCGTCAACCTAGCTACCGCCTCTTGGGGAGGTGGATTGCCATGCCAACAAGAGAACCCCTCCCGTTGTTGTAGGTAGTGTCTTCAGTGACACGCTACAGCGGTGCCCCAGCGTCTAGACAAGCCCCCTAAATGTCTGTTGCAGCCCCTAGCACAATGCGGGGGGGGGGGGTCTTGGCTAGGTCCTCTAAGCACAGTTCTGTGTTTGTACAATGCCTAGCACACTGGAGTGCTGCCGGTTCACGAATAGGGCACCTCGCTGGTATGGTAATACAAGTAAACAATCATCATAATATAAATTACACTACTGAGTCTAAGGCCTATAACACACCCTTCTGATTCCAGCCGGTAGATGGCAGTGGCGCGCACACACACACACACACACACACA